CCACCGCCGCCCAGCTGGAACATATTTCTAAGACACAATAATGTACAAAAGTTCAATAAACAGAGTCCAATAGAACAAACAAGATCACAGAATTCATCTTGTATCTGCCAGAGCAAGAAGTCCCAGAGAATTGATGTAACCATTCAGCCACCTTCCTGTCCACATAGCATTCAGAAAATTCAAGAAAAAGACATTTGGCAAGGCCAGCTTCTGCAGAATTACAGGCCACACATCACAGGGATTTCATCTCAGTACTGAGCAAATTAAGAGCTCTCACCCCGAGCACTATAACCAGTACAGTGTGCACCGTGGGTCACTCCAAAGACACTAGACCTGCACGTCTCACAGCTCCAGGGACAAGTTCCCAAAAGCTCACAGAAAGGGTGTATCAAAAACTAATTCTGGAGGCAGGTGGATCTCTGAGTTCAAGATCAACCTGGTCTACAGTGAGTTCCAGGACAGCCAGGGCTACACAGAGAGACTCTGGGGGTGGGGGGTGGGGGTGGGAGTGGACCGGGGATCTAAATGGTAGCATCATTCATAAATGATGGAGTTGTGGTCTTGTGGTCACAATAACTTATTCTATGTTGCATCGAAATTCTATGTATATATGTTGCATTTAAATTTTAAAATATGTAAATTTAAAAGGAAAAAACTCAAATAATCAAAAGCTTTCCTATCCACAATCACCGTTTTAAATAATTCCATTCAAACGATTACAGAAGCTACTTCTAAATGGAGAAACTAGGGATGGGGGAAGAATGAACCACTTACTATTCTGAGGTATCATGCATTCACTTCCGAAGGTTTTAACAAGAAGGTACAATTTCAAATACCCACATAAGCACCTCCTACTTGAAAATGATTATGTATGTCCTCTTCTGTCCTTACTTGGACCCACTGCAGGATCTATCCATCAATAAACTTGGGATCTAACACACAAGGTCAAAAACACAAATGAGTTGAAGAAATTCAATGAATGTCTATGAAAAGCAGGACAAGGTTGTCTGAAGGTGGGGAAGAAGGTATAAAAGGCCAATGACACTTCCCACGTCCCCACCAGTGTCCACAGACCACATTACAAAGCTCCTACTATTCCCGGATTGGCGTGGGGTTTTAACCCATCCACACTTCCTTGTGCAAACATACACTGCATAGCCTAACACAGTCTGCATCTGTTAGATTGCTGCTGTAGCAACTGAATCCCCGCAGCACACGGAAGTGGTGCCCTGTAAGGAGAGTGCAACGTGTCAGTCGGCTGGGAGTTGTGGAGTGTCAGCAACTAAGGCACACTATCCTCTCCACCACATGAGCCACAAAAAAAAGTTTGGAGTAAGAGAGTCCTTTCTCTTTTTTTCGTTTCTTTCTATTATTCTCTCTCTCTCTCTCTCTCTCTCTCTCTCTCTCTCTCTCTCTCTCTCTCTCTCTCTCTCTCTCTCTCTCTCTCTCTTCCCCCATAGCCCCTTTTTTTTTTTTAAGGTGCAAAAGGGAGGAGTCGGAAATAGACTTGATAATGAGATCCACTCCAGGACAGATAAGGAACTTGTGGCAACCTAAAGTACCTTGAGATGGGATGCTACTCTAAAAGCAAGAGGACTAAGTTTCATTTTCTGTAACCTCACTCCCGGCACTGAGCAGAAGTCATTTGATTGCCCGCAGAAAAAGCAACCTGTGCTCCAACTCCTCTGCCCGGTTCCTAATGCCCTGCCGGGTCTGCAGGTGAGAACACCTGGCAGAGCCCCCGGGGAGCGCGCCGTCGTGGGTGGAGGGGCTGGCGGGGCGTGGAGGGGTCCCCACGGTCCCCACGGCAGCCGGGCGGCCGCTCCTCCCGCAGACCCGCAGACGGACGAGTCCTGACTGGGACCCGCCGCGGTGCAGCGGGCAGGGGTGCGGCACTTACCCCCGTTCACTCCGACCGACGGCTCCAGCTTGGCGGCGCCGATCGCCACCACTATCCCGACCATGAACCACTCCTTCCTCGCCCTCTCCAGCAGCCTCATGGTGGTTAGGGTGGGTGGGTTTGGTTTATTTGTTTGGCCGGCTGGCTTTCCAAGCGGCGATCCCTGAATCCCCGGGGCGTCTCCACACTTTGCTCGGTCCCCCCAGACATGCAGCAGAGCGAGTCAAATTGCCACTCGTAAACTAGAGACCGGAGGGCTGGCTCGGGCGGCTCCGAGGCGGGCTGGGAGTAGTAGTATCCAGTGACAGGAAAGCCTCGCTGAGCGCCGCCATCACTACCACGCGCCTGCGAATAGGCGCGCACGCGGGTCGCGGACTCCAGGGTACGGGAGACGTAAAATGGAGGCACACCGGGCGAGAGGGGCGGGCGGAGGGGGCCAGCCCCGCGGCTGCACCAGCAGGACCGGCTGCCGTGCAGACGTGTCCGAGCTCGGGGAGGCCCGCGGCGGGGCGACGGGAGGAGGCGCCCCAGACGCCTCGCCTCACCGTGGGCGTCGCCGCAGTCCCGCCGTGCCGACGGCCCCCCGAGCCCCCGGGCATGCCTCGCAGAGAGCGTCCTTCGCTCCGCCCGGAGCCCGCGGGACGCGCGGGTGCGCCTGGGCGGTACCGGGTTTCCGCTGTGGCGGCGGTTCTGGTGCGCTGCTCCTCGGGGCATTACGACGACGGCCGACGTCGCGTTGACGTTGCGCGGGGGGAGGGGAGGCACTCGCGGCCTCTGGTTCTCGGCGGGAGCGGTGGCGGCAGACGCGTGTGGCGACCGGCGCGGGAAAGCGGCTTCCTACTTGGGGAAGCGTTAGCCCCGGGGGTAGGTTGAAAATCGGTGGCCGAGCAGACGTCCGGGACGGCAGGCCTCCCGCCTTCCCGCAGCGGCGGCGGCGGGGGGAAGGCGGGGAAGGCGGGCCGGGCCTTCCCGCCAGGTCGGTGGCCTGCCCGGGCCTTTCTGCCCGACCGCCTTCCCGGCCAAAACCCGCCCCGGGAGTGGGGAGGACGGCCGGGATGGGGCAAATCTTCCCTGGGGGGGCGGTGAGAGAGCGGCCCAGGCTCCTCCCCACCCGTGTGCCGCGCGTGGGCGGGCGATTCCGGAGGCCGCGTGGTGCGGGCCTTTGCCTGACCCCGGAGCTGAAGCACTAAAGCAACAGGACGGCCGAGGGGGCCGGGAACTCAGAACAAAAGCAGTGAGGGTCGAGACCCAGGGTGGAGGGTCTGATGTCCGGCCCCCGGTTCCTTGCATTGCATTCTGGCGACCTATGACATAGTTTCACGAATGGTCTTCCGAGCATCTACCCTTCCTCTTTATGCACCCAAAGAAAGAAAGGAACAAAGTATTGTGGGACATTTTGAAGCAGCCTGGTATCAGCCACTTGAATAGTTTACTATGGAACGTAACGTTCGAAAGCGATTATACCAGACTTTCATTCTGGATGCATTCAAAGCTTGAAAGAGACTCGGCTTGCAATTTGCTCTATTTAACTTTATCTTGCTGACATGACTCGCTATCCAAAAACTAAGCTGCTTTAAGCAGTTGTGCTATCAGTTCCCAGTTGCACAGCCCCCACTGTAATTATACATCAGGCAGCATGAAGAAAAGCTAATCTCAAGATAAAAAGAACTTAATAGGGAGACATTAAACAATTTACCAGGCAAAAGAAGTACATGAAATGTGATAAAAGATTAATAGAAGGCAGTCACAAGGTAAGTGGAGTTTTGGGAAGTAAAATTTATAACATAATTTTCTTACAGTAATTTTCTCAGTTCAAAAAAAAAAAAAATCTGCCTCAAAGGGCCATCACAAAGATGGTGCTGACTTAAGTGAGTCTACTCACAAGTTCATTCTAGAGACTTGGATCTGTTTAGAACAGAATCTTAATTCATAGAAGACTATTTTAACAAGAGTTCATTGAAAATCGTATTGTCCAGGACCGTATTAGTTTGCTAGGGCTGCTATAACAAATACCAACACACACACACACACACACACCCTTAAAAAAAAAAAAAACTGGTTGCACCCAGATAGTAGACATTGGTTATTTTACTGTTGCAGAAGAAGAAAATCTAAAGTGGAGGTGTTGGAGGGCCATGTGTTCTCTAAAGGCCCTTTTCAGTTTCTTGTGGCTGTTGGCATCCCCTGGCTTCCTTGATTTAAGGTTGTGATGCTCAAGTGTCTGCTGGTTTGGTTTCACAGTCCCCTGCGTATGTCTCTAATGACTACGTCATTTATTCTGCATCCATTGTCAACATTGCCTTTTTTCTGCATATATTACAAAGATAGTTGTCCGTGGATTTAGAACTTACCCAAGTAATCCAGAATGATGGGTCAGATTCCTTTACATGAATTATATGAGCTTATATTCTTCCTCCAAATTAAGCAACTGTTTAGTAATGTCCCCTGTAAAAGGCATGCCTTCCTGAACCTCAGAATTTGACTTCTGTTAGAAATGAGATGTTTGTAGGTATAAATACCTAAGAAGAGGTTATACTAGATTCAGGCAGGTCCCCAATCCAGTGACTGCTGTTCTTTTAAGAATGTAATGTGAAGGTATACAGGAGAGACAGGTGGAGTATGAGCACCACATGAAGGGGAAGCCCTAACTGGCTTGAGGTATCTGTAAGCCAGGGATCCGAAGAACTGCTGGCTACCACTAGAAGCTAGGAGAGAGGCCAGTACAGATTTTTGTTCAGGCTTCTGATAGAAACCTCACCTTCATACTTGATGAGCCCCTGAACTATCAGAAAGTCAGTATTTTTAATCCCTCCCCCATTTGCAGTGCATTGTTACAGCAGCCTGAGGAAACTAATAGAAAACTATTCACAGGTGCTCGTGTGCAGTAGTCCTAGCGGCTTTTCTGTTCTGTTCTGAGACCCAGCAGCTGTCACCGCTGAGCTACTTGGAAGATCCATTCAGCGAGCTTCTAGGAGCTTGAGACCTTCACAGTCCCCTCGACTCTGAGCTGGAAGGAAAGATGGTTGAAGCAGATCGCCCAGGAAAGCTCTTCATTGGTGGGCTTAATACAGAAACAAATGAGAAAGCCCTTGAAGCGGTATTTGGCAAGTATGGACGAATAGTGGAAATACTTTTGATGAAAGACCGCGAAACCAACAAATCAAGAGGATTTGCTTTTGTCACCTTCGAAAGCCCAGCAGATGCTAAAGATGCAGCTAGAGATATGAATGGGAAGTCCTTGGATGGAAAAGCCATCAAGGTGGAGCAAGCTACCAAACCATCATTTGAAAGTGGCAGACGTGGACCACCTCCACCTCCAAGAAGCAGGGGCCCTCCCAGAGGTCTTCGAGGAGGAAGTGGAGGAACTAGGGGACCCCCTTCGCGTGGAGGATACATGGATGACGGTGGCTATTCCATGAACTTTAACATGAGTTCTTCTAGGGGACCACTTCCAGTAAAAAGAGGACCACCACCACGAAGCGGGGGTCCCCCTCCTAAAAGATCAACGCCTTCAGGACCAGTTCGCAGCAGCAGTGGAATGGGAGGAAGAGCCCCAGTGTCACGTGGAAGAGATAGCTATGGAGGCCCTCCAAGAAGGGAGCCCCTGCCATCTCGCAGAGATGTTTATTTGTCCCCGAGAGATGATGGATATTCTACAAAAGACAGCTATTCAAGCAGAGATTACCCAAGCTCCCGTGACACCAGAGATTATGCACCACCACCAAGAGATTATACCTACCGTGATTATAGTCATTCCAGTTCACGTGACGACTACCCATCAAGAGGCTATGGTGATAGAGACGGATATGGTCGGGATCGTGACTATTCAGATCATCCAAGTGGAGGTTCCTACAGAGATTCGTATGAGAGTTACGGTAACTCCCGCAGCGCACCCCCTACACGAGGGCCACCACCATCTTATGGAGGAAGCAGTCGCTACGATGATTACAGCAGCTCACGTGATGGCTACGGTGGAAGTCGAGATAGTTACTCAAGCAGCAGAAGTGATCTCTACTCAAGTGGCCGTGATCGTGTTGGCAGACAAGAACGGGGGCTCCCCCCTTCTATGGAAAGGGGCTACCCTCCTCCACGTGATTCCTACAGCAGTTCAAGCCGAGGAGCACCAAGAGGAGGTGGCCGTGGAGGAAGCCGATCTGATAGAGGGGGAGGCAGAAGCAGATACTAGAACCAAGACTTTGGATCAAGGTCTCCATTCAAAGAAACAAAAAGATGGAAAGTCTTCTGTCGTAACTACCCAAGGACTACTAAGAAAAGTTGTGTTACCTTTTTAAATTTTTCTGTTTTAAGTTCCCCTTCATCATTTTTGTGTTCTTGTGAGGATAAAAGTAAAACATGATTAATTTTGATATTATGAATTGCTTTCAATAAGCAAATGTTAAATGTGTAAGACTTGACTTGTACTAGTGTTGTAATTTTCCAAGTAAAAGTGTCCCTAAAGACAATTTCCTGTCTTGATTTTTTTTTTCCCCCTTCTAGGAAATGAGGTGAGCCATTCTAAGATCTTTGAGGGACCGTCTAGATATCCTTTGGTCCTGGAGAGTTGAATTAGCCTGCCTATACAGACAAGCTAACTGTTAGGGGTAGTAGAGGGTGGTGGTGGTGGTGGTTTGCTACTCTTAGGATCTTGGGGTGTCTTCTGACTTAAGCCTCTGTGAAAAACTTGAAGGGCTATTGCCCAGAACACAAGAAAGCAAAGGCACAAAGCTGACTGGTTTTTTGTTTTTGTTTTTTTCCTCGACATTTCTTTGGGAATCTTCAAGAGCCTCCCTTTTTCCCTCTCTGTTTTTTTATTCTTTATTTGGTTTTTGACACAGGGTTTATCTGTGTAGCCTTGGCTGACCTGGAACTCACTCTAGACCAGGCTGGCCTTGAACTCAAAGATCCATGTACTTCTTTCCTGAGTGCTGGGATTCCCCCACCCCCATCCCCACCCCCCAGACAAGGATTTTCTGTGTAGCTTTGGCACCTTTCCTGGAATTCACTCCGTAGTGAGTCCAGGATGGCCTTGAATTCAGAGACCTACCTCTGCCTCCCGAGTGCTGGGATTAAAGACATGTGCCACCACTGCCCAGCTGCATTGTTTAATATTTTTTTTAAGATTTATATATTTATGTGTGTATGAGTGCCTGTGAGTTTTTGTGCATCACTTGTATGTAGGTTCCTATGGAGACCAGAAAAGGGAGAATAGGGTTTTATTCTGTAGCCCTAGCTGGCTTCACACAATGATCCTGCTACTACACCTCCCCAGGGCTAGATTTTAGGTGGGTAGCATCACTACTGGCTATCATTTTTTCTGAGGCTTTTCTGTTGCATTACCTCATTTGCTTTCAGGCAAAAATGGACACAAAAACAGAAAGACAAGATGAGTTGTTTACTCAGTAAGTATTCTTTTGGTCCCTTACTACAAAGTACCTCTGGGAGTTGGGGATTTAGCTCAGTGGTAGAGTGCTTGCTAGGCCCTGGGTTCAGTCCTCAGCTCTGGGAAAGAAAAAAAAAAGTACCTCTTGATATGGACTGGAGAAGTAGCCCAGCTGGTAGAATGCTTGCCTTGCATACACGACACCTTGGGCACATAAATTTGAGTGTGAACTGAGTATGGTGTAACCCTAATACTTGGGAGCTTGGGGTGGGAGGATCGGCCCTGTTTCAAAAACCTTGGGATTAGTAATTCATAAGAATTCTCATGGTTCTGAAGACTGAAGTCTAAGGACAGTACTAGCATCTGGTTGTTGCCTCATGCTACATCATAACATGAAGGGGTCATTCATGTAAATCAAAACAAAGGCTCTGGCCATCATGGCCAGCCCACTTCAGTACTAACTGTAGTTCTCTCCCAGAAGCTCACTTAACTAGGAATTTGGGGCATGTTTCTGTGCAATATGAGAAGATACATACAAGCTATCCCAAGTATTTTTAGTGAAGAAAGTGCACCTCTACCATATGCCAGGGGTGGGGTGGGTACTGAGCAGTCAGTATGTGAAGCTGACCTCAGGGAGCTTATCTCATGAGAAAAACTGAATTCGGGCTGTGTTGCTGGCTACACAAGGTCCCCAAAACCCAAGTAAATGGGTGTAATCCCATTGCTTGGGAGGTGGACAGGAATCCATCCCTGGGGCAAACTGGCTAGCTGGACTAGCCAAGTGAGCCCTGGGTGCAACAGTGACCCCAGTGGAGAGCAACTAAGATGCCCAGCATCAACCTCTGTCCTACACATAGACACATGCAATCATACCACACACACAAGAAGCTAAATGCCAACACTTGGATTTGTGGAAAGAAGGTGTTAAGAGTCATCTTGTCTGGAAGATGCATCCTTGAGACCTGCAGGATGGACAGGTATGTGGGAGAACTCACAGGTAAGGCGGAGCTTGACTTTATAAAACTCAAAAGGGATGGGAAAGGCTTGTGGGGAGCTGGATAGGATACAGATCATGAGAAACTTCTGGTGTTATCATTAGGGTTTGGCTTTTAAAAGTCCACAGATACTATAAAAGCAAAAAAAAATGTAAATCAGCACATAACATGACCAGTTTTGCTGAAGACATTGTTGTAGAAGCTGTCCAGTCTAGACCTAGTTCAAGAAGAAATAAGTCCATGGAACTCAGTGATTAGTACAAGAATTGCTAGTATACACGGGAGGACTCAGTTGCCTGTCACCTCTAAAGGGACCAGTAACTGGGAAACTGAGCAAGTCAAACCTTTCCCAGGAATTTGGAGCGTGTGAATAGTTATACATAGGCAAGTAAAAGCTCTAGCCACGTGAGGGGTTTCCGCTCAAATTAGCTGTGAGACTTTTCTGTAGATTGAGGTTATTTAGTAAATACCTACTTTGGTGGTTGGTTAGTTAGTTTTGGTTTTTGTTGCTGTTTTGCTTTGAGACAGGGTGCCTCTGTGTAACTGACACTGCCCTGGTAGTCCAGGCTGGCCTGAACCAGGAGATCCACCTGCCTCTGCCTCCAGGGATTAAAGGCGTGCACCACCGCTGCCAGACCAGTGTCTCCTTTGTAAACTTTGTTTTTGTCCGTGTGCATGTACTGGGGGTTAGACCTGTGGCGTCACGTGAGAAGGCCAACACTCCCCCCTTCCCACATCCCCAGCCCCCCTCCTCTCTCTCTCTCTCTCTCTCTCTCTCTCTCTCAGTTTTGAGGCATTCTCTCACTAAGTGGCTCAGGCAGCCTTGGATCCTTGGAATCCTCCTGCCCTCAGCCTTCTGAGTAACTGGGATTACAGGCCTGTAGCACCAAACCAGACCACTTTTTAAACTATGTCTTACACTGGCTATTTCATTTCTTTGACTAGAGTTCATTTTCTTTACATAACATCTATAAACAATTATTGCCAAAAGCAGATAAGCCTGTGCCATTATACTTGACACTCTTACATCTGATAGCATGTTAATAGAAAGTCTATCCCATGAGCCTGGGATTGAGTGACAGAGCATGTGCACTTTCTTACATGGAATAAATGGCCACACATTCATGTACTGAGCAAATATTTGTTGAGTTTCTGCTGTGTACCAGACACTAAATACTGAACTTACAAGGTGAAGACAAGATATGCTTCAATTTACTTTGCATTTTCTAACAGTTATATCAGGAAAATTACGAATGGTACTAAGGCCATAATAAAAAGAAAACAAGATAGGGTATCACAGCTGCATCAGTTTAGATAGCATAGACAGGGTGACTTAAACAGCTGACTTTCACATCTCACTCTGGAGAAGTACAGGCTCAGGGTGCCCATAGAGCTGTCTGGATGAGGCATCCACTTTCTGGTTTGTGAGTGAGCATCTTGCTACATTCTCACACAGCACAGGATGAAGAAAAGCAAATGTCTGCCCCTCTTCCTAAGACAGTTTCACTTTAGTGACCTACTCATGTCCAAAAAGCCATTATCTAAATACCACCACCACACTGGGGAGCTGTGACTTAAAGATACCAATTCGAGAGGGTGTTCACAAATATGCAGTCCGTAGCAGAGCCCTCATAGCAGAGACTCCAGCCCCAAGACAAGCCCCCATGCTGGACGTGCTCAGGTGAGTACAGAGCGCTGCACAGTGGGTGAGGGGGGTAAAGTGGCAATGGCTTTGTCCCGTGTCCTGCCTTGCTGGTAACACTGTAACAAATCACCATGAGATTAGTGGCTGCATGCTCTAGTATTTTACAGGTTTGAATAGCGGAAGTCCACATGCTTGGCACTGGGCTCCAATCAGCCTGCCAGCAGGGCTGAAGGTTCTCAAGGAGAATCGCCGTTACAGCTGCCTGAATGCCCAGGTGTTCTGCCTTCCGGCTTCCGAGTCAGCCAGGAGCCATTGAGTCTTTCTTGGGAGGGATCACTCTGGCTCTCTCTCTCTAGCCTCTTGCTTTGACTTTTTGTTCGTTTGTTTGTTTGTTTTGATTAATTGGTTTGGGTTTTTTTTGTTGTTGTTAAAGTCTTTATGTCAGTGGTTCTCAACCTTCCTAATGCTGTAATCCTTTAATACAGTTCATGTTGTAACCCCCAACCATACAATTATTTTTATTACTACTTACTAATTTTGCTGCTGTTATGAATCTTAATGTAAATATCTGTTTTTCGATAATCTTAGGCTACCCCTGTGACAGTTATTCACTCCCCCCTCAAAGAGGTCAAGACCCACAGGCTGAGAATCACTGCTTTATGTAGTCCTACCTGTCCTGGAGCTTGCTATGTAGATCAGGCTGGCCTTGAACTCACTGGGATCCTCCTGCCTCTACCTCCTGAGAACTGGGATTAAAGATGTGCACTACCATGCCCAGCCCTTTCATATATGAAAACCCTTCTGATGGTGTTGGTGTTATGGGCTATATGAGTTCCCCAAAGGGCATATGCTAAAGTTCCAGCCTTCTGTACCTCCAAATGGGGCTTTATTTGGAATAGCTCCAGATAGGTGTTTGAGTAAACAACTCCAGATAGGTGTTTGAGCAAGGCCTACAAACACCTTGGCTTTGTGCTTCGGGCCTTCAGGGCAGGGAGATAATGTATTAAGCAGTCCTTGAAGGCACTGGGATAGGCACAGGACACACATGGAGGGAGACATTATGAAGACACAGAAGAAGATGACTGTGTCATGGGATGGCACAGGCTAAGATGATACAAGCTAAGGAGAACTGAGGACTGGTAGCAACACCAGGAGTTCAAAGAGGCAGGGGAAATCCCTTAGAGCCATTAGAGAGCAAGGCCTACAAACACCTTGGCTTTGTGCTTCGGGCCTTCAGGGCGGGGAGATAATGTATTAAGCAGTCCTTGATTCATACTCCTTCACGGCATCATTGGGAAGCTAATTCAAGTAGGCACGTGTAGATGATACCTTTCCTCCTTACGTCTAGAGCCATTTCATCACATCTGTAAAGTTTCTTTGGCCATGTAAAGAAACATATTCAAGTTCTGGGAATTAGAATATGGACATCTTTGGGGGCATTAT